TTTTTATAAAAAAAAAAAAAAAAAAAAAAAAAAAGAGCATTCACATTACAGTTGTTGCTGAAAAACAAATGTCCCAATCAGACTTTGGTATAGTATTCTCATCAATAATAATCTGGTGACAAACACAATTATACTAAAATCTATAATGAGCGAGAAGCCCCCTTATGAACTTGAAGGGCCAATTTCATTTCAGATCAGATTCTTCAACCTTGAGATTTGGGACAGGGTTTAGGCTGCAAAATTTATGGGAGCAATATCTTGTTACTATGAGGTGATAGACGGCCCAACATTGGCACAGAAATGAACCAAAAGTGTGCACCAAATCATCCAAATAAGAGAAAACAATCGTTTCTAATTTACGTACATATAAATATAGTTCATATTTGTATCTCGTGTTCTAGTTCAACAAAGTACTGTTTACTATGTACATCCATAATCAACACACAAAGGAATCTAGACCATTACTTACAGAAGATGGAATTGCTAGTGTGAATCATACTTTTCTGGCAAACTCAGTCACGTCGGCGAATTGTAGAATCTGGACATATGAAAACACCACACAAACACGAGCATAAAAAATTCATGCATTTGGAAACAACAACCCCATCGTCCAACCAAGGAGCAAACCGGCGCTGGCAAGGCCCAACCCCACTGCAAACGCGACAGTGCACTTGCTGATATCATACTTTGGCTTGCCATGCCTTTTCCTTGCAGCCCTGTGCTGACCCTTTTTGACTTGCCTACCCTTGCAAGGCGCCCAAGGCAAGACAGATGGGAAGAGATTGCAAATTGGTTGGTTTTTGTTCTTAAGCTGGAGGCAGATGTTCTCTAACTGAAGCAGTTGGAGCCATTGTTTGTAAGCGAACAGCTGGGAGGCCTGTCTGAAAAGCAGAGTGATGATGTGCTCCTTCTCAGTATATGCTTTCTGGGCCGCCGTCTCAGCTTCCCTTGCTCGTTTTTGAGATAGACACAGCGCTTTCAACAGCTGAGCTTTGTTTTGATCATTCTCCGAATTAGTTGGAGCATCTGTCTTGTCGATGCTGGTTGTACTATGATCACTGTTGCTGTTGGGGTAAACATGTGCAGTCTAATTTGTTAAGAAATTGAACTTAATATAATGAAAATTATGATTCATAATACGTTTCAAGATGATTCACCGTGTCATTCAAACTGTAAGAAGATTTTGCGAAGTTAAGTAGGAAGAAGAAGAACTAGTTTGGATAGTAAGGGGAGTTCAACACCCTAAGCCAAGCCACAAAATGCACATGGAACAAATCCTATTTTGCATTTTTTATTATCACAAGACGTACTATTTTTTACTTGGCATCAAGATTTTTGTAAAGTTCATGCCACAAGTTTTCAAAAAGTTGCTATATCTTTCTGAATGGCATAGTGTAAGTTTGTCAGTCTATCCGAAAAGCTTAAGCTAATAGGCGGTGCGCTAACAATTATTCTAATCATATGAATTCATGGATGATGATGAACAGCAATATAATAACTATAAGCTAACAATCTACAACGTTACCTGAAAGTCTGCTCAGAATCATGCGGTGAGTAATCTGAATTTGGGGTTCCCAAAGTATACTCCAGATTGGAGAACCCTCTTTCAGCCTTTCGATTCAAAGGTGAAGCGAGTTTATCATGATCCAAAATCCGCGGACAAGCAGAAGGCTGCTTCCTATAATTCGTAGACCGGGGTCGTGGAAGATCACAATTCTCAACATGCTCAAGTGATTTCTGAGCAACCAAAGAAGCCAAATCATCTTTACCAGCACAGCGCCACCAAGGTTCACTCTTGTCACTCCCGAGCAAATGAGATTCAAAATCAGAAGACAGTTTCTTGGTTTCTTCGGAAACCAAACAGTTCAAGGACTCCAAATTCATCAAATGATCATCCAAGTACCAAAACTCTGTCGCATCCTTAGTTAAAGCCTTGACTTGCTCCATAGAAGAACTAACATTACTCTTCATACCAGTTTTAGAGATAAGATCTTCTTTGAGTTGGCACTCCTTACTAAAATCTGAAGTCTCATTAATAAGTTCATTTCTGAAAATTTCAAGTTCAGCCTCCAAGGAAATATTATGTTCAGTTACAAAATCCTTGTAACGCCCAAAGTTGGGCTCCTGATTCAACCACCACCTTCTACCAGTTAGCACATGCGAATTTGGGTAACTGATCAGATATCCCGGCGTGGTGTTTTGTGGCTCTTTTGCTGCAGTGTCAGGTGCATGATCAAACTCCAATTTTGAGGAATTTGATGATGATGATGATGGATAGCAATAAAATTTTGAAGCTTCCCTTGCACATTCATGGGCATAGCAACGGCTACAACGCCGTGCAGTTCTGGCCTCTGCCGCTGCCATTACTTCAATTGGCCTGCAAAAAAATTTGCAACGACAAAATAAGAATTTTCAATTGGTAGCTACATTCTGAAAATCATTTATCTTGATTCATAACAAAGGCATTCTACAAAGAATAAAGGCATTAATGAAAAGCTAAGATCAGTGGATCCTTACCTTTTGCTAAATGAACATACTCGGATCAGCGGATCCCCGAGAACGGAATATCCTGAAAGAAGTTCAACCCATATTTTCTGTGGAAAGTATCAAGCCCATGAAAGCAGCAAAAGAAAGCAACCTTGAAAAGTCAAAGAAACATACCAGAAGCTTTAGATTATTAGGAAGACATAAGGAAACCAAGGTCCAAAACAGCAATCAATCAAGAAGACCATGAAAGAATGATCAAGTCCACAAGAGGGAGTTAAATGATCTGATTCCAGAACCAATACCGAACAATAATTCCAGAATTATGAAAGATTTAAGCAACTGAAAAGAAAGTTTGCAGAAATAACTCATATGGGTCCCTGATTACACAATTTTAACCAACACAAACAACTTTTTTTACGAGTCGTTTAGCTGTCTTATAGTTGAAAAGCAAACAAACAACAATTTAACTGAAAGCATAAAGCAGATTCCTTGATGACCCACAAGAAAAACCGACTAAAATAAAATCTAGAATAACTCATGAACCCCAAATTTTACATGCCCATGGGAAAGAAATTAGCTGAATCAGAAAATAAAAATCCTAAAATTAAAACCTTTACACACAAAATCCAGTGAAGATTCACATAACTAATGATGTAGGCCTCAAGGTTTCGATAAACTTCTGCAGAATCTGATAAAAGACGGCAACTTTATCTATATAAATCATTCAGTATAAACCGCCAACCCCCCCCAAAAAAAAAAAAAAAAAAAAAAAAACCAAAATTTCATCAAAAAACATAATCACAAAACAAGACGGCAATACATGACATGACATATTTGGGAGCAACAAAAAGTAAGAACAAGAAGAGGAAAAAAAATTCACCTTTTAGTGAGATGGGTATCGTGGTATTTGGCCAAAAATGGTGATATCCAAAGAGGGAGAGACAGAGATGATCGGATATGAGGCTTTTGTCTGAACGACCTCCATTGTTGTGTGGCTCTTACATCACTGTCACCACCATCACGCTATTACTGACATCTGTGAAAACTTGCAAAAAAAAAATAATAAAACGATTTCTAAATTCGTTTTACACAAACTTCTTTGCCGGAAATAAAGGCTCAACTAAAATACTATTATAGGACATAGTTTTTAGTACGTTTTCTTTAATTACGAGTTGCTTTTCCTATATGTTTGTGTTTGTGTGTTTGTTCTTCTTTTTCTTTTTTCTTTTTTCCCCTTACTTTGAGACAATTTATGAGAGCGATTGAAAATAAAATAGGAAATAATAACATTTACGAGAAACTTCAAAGTGAATTTTACCGATGGGCCATCACAAATTCACAATCCTCTTCAGCAAACGAAACGGAAACGAGAATAATATCTTCAATCATTTTCCAACTACCATTCCCGCAAAAATGCAACTTCATACGACAAGTCGTGTCTCACACTCTTTAAAAAAGTGGAACCCCGTAATTGTAAAGTAATCAACAACGTTTTTTTTTTTTTTTTTTTAAACGGAATAATCACAACATACGTTACAAGTTACAACGAATTAAGAGTGTCACGTAACAAATTGAGGTTCGATACTCTTACTTTGTCGTGTGATAGTTTTTTTTTTTTATTATTTTTTTATTAACACGCCATGTGGAGATACATCGAATATTAATGCTCGTTGTGATAATAATCAAATGTTTTTTTTTAAGATAATAATAATCCAATGTCTTTTTTTGAAAATAAAAATAATTGAATGGTTAAAGATACACATTTGCAGGACACGACTGAACTAATGAGACGAGATAAAAATAATGATACATAGAATTCTTAATATAAATATAAATATTTAAAAAGCTGCCTCTTATCTTAATATGCATAATAGTGTTCACTCCATAGTACATCTCAAAATTTATATGTATGTATTGAGAGTGCGACCCACTATATATAAAAGTTATAAGAACTAGATAATAGAGCAAGTTTAACGCATTTAAATTCATAATTTTAATTTTGTTATAATATTATTTTTTTTATAAAAAAATTTAAATAAAAAACGTTCTCATCAATGAATTATCTCATAAAATTTAAATTTAAAATAAAAATTACTAAATTAAACCCGTAAATTAAGCGGGCCACGAGATTTTCCTCTCTAAATGTTCATCAGATACTCCACCAAAGTCAACACCACCAATGTCAGTTTTTTTTTTAATCTTTTTTCTCTGCAGACGGCAGTAACCTAACTCCACTAAAGTCAACACCTTTAATGGCACCGAATATACATTTGTCTGTTGATTAAGGAAGACTACAAAACTGAACCGACCAGGGAAATCTGTACTTACATTGGACGGTGCAAAAGCTCTTATCCAAAGTAAAAAAGGTGAAATGACAAATAGATTGTAGAAACTCATTAATAACGAATTCTCTGCTTGAATTTCATCCTAAGCACTGACAATCTTTTCTGCAGAGATAACTTCTCAGGTTTCCTACCTAGTTTGTCCAAGTAAAATGCCATTTTTTTCAGGGTCTCTAAAACTTCTTCGCTCTCACATCCAAACTCTTTCTCTTGGATTCTTAGCATCCACTTGAGATGCTCCAACAACATTTCATTATCCGTCTTCAGTCTAGCTTGGATTGATACCAAACAGTCCAAAGCCTCCGCTGCCATTGCACATGAAAACCATCAAAGACAGAAACCAAACCATGCAAAAAGAAGAGAGAAAATTTGAATATTGACATGTGGATTATGTTATCTAATAAAGGAAAATATCACCACTGGTTTTCTATCAGTGACAGTTAGATATTGACATGTAATACTATACGAGTCCATGTGTTGTAGATCAATATGTAATAAATAATATATAAGATGGTCCTTGTGTTATTATTTGCGGATCTTAGAATTAATGTGTGAATCCGGACTAAATAGCATAAAATATGACATAAGAAATTGTTGGATTAGAGGAAAACAACCATGGCTTACCAACTGGAAGAGAATCTTTTCCAAATGCGTTTTTGCGGATGCGCAAAGCCTCAAGGGCAAGTTGTTCAGCTTCTTCATCGTGTCTTAAATGGTAGAGAGTCACCGCGAGACGCAACATTGGGAACGTGATTGATTGATCATCGGGTTTAACAGTTTTAGCCATGATCTGCAAGCTTGTTCTTAGCAAATGCTCAGCCTCTGGATAATTCTTCGAGTGTAAAAGGGAAGTAGCAAGATTAATCATGTGTGTCACCGAGCTCGGGTGCTCTTTACCTCTGCTCTTCTCCTTTCCCTCTGCTCTTCTCTGTGATTAGCAAGCATTCTTCTAAAAGCTCTCGGCCTTCTTTTCCTCTACAATCAACCAAATCATAATGGTTAACCGGGAGCATAAGCATTTGAACTTCTGATGTTAATGTTACATTTGAGATTACCTTCCAACAAGATGAAGTAATTCAGCCAAATATATTCTAATCTTTTCCATTGTTCTGTCATCCATAGCCATGTAATTCGAATCCTTGATAACCCGAAGGGCATTTCTGTATAAACGAATTGCTTCATCTGCATTTCCTGTAAAAAATTGGCTTGAGAAACCATATGTTTGAAGCTTTTTAAGACAGATTTCCACAAAATGAATGTTTAATTCATAGCCCCCCAATGTTTACGGACAAAAGGCCCCAGGTGGCCAGGTCTTACATAGTACCAAACAAGGTGACTAATGATTTTATAGATTTACTCAGTTTCAAACTAGAATTTCCACCACCCATGAAGCTTCAGAGAGAAAGAGAGAGATCGTGCATTACCGAGCGCACATTTCACATGAGCCAGTGAACACATAGCCATTCCAACTCTTCCATCATATTCTCCGTATAACTTGGTATATATATTCAAGATTCTGTGGAAGAAAAGAAAATGATGAAAAGGTCAGACAAAGGTCATGAACTCAAATCAATAAAAAAAAAAAAACAAGGCAAAGTACCCAATCCAAAAACAAGGGAAAGAAGTTTAACCTTAGAAAAGGAGTTTCTGCCTCCATAGCCTTCCCTTCTTGGATTAATATATTGCCAAGACCAAATAAAGGCACGATTAAGTCCTCGCTTTCAACACCTCTGCTTGATTCCAGAATAGTAATTGCACGGTTATAGAATTCTATTGCTTCAGTAGCTTTTCCACTAGAACCAAGAGATTTTGCCATGCCCAAATATGGTGTCACAAGAAAAACACTATTTTTCCCTGAAAGAAGGAATATATTCTCAATCAATAACAATAGCCCATACTCATTCTCCATAGTTGAAATAACAACCAATGTTACAAGAATTCAAAGTTTTCCTTTAAAAAAAGAAGAAAAAAGTTCAAAGTTACCATATTTTTTCTCCATAATATCAATAGCCCTCTGATACTTGAGCACCGATTTATCAAACTTCCCCATAGTTGAGTACATACTTCCCATATGCACAAGTACAGGATCCAGAAGCCGCTCATCATCAGTTAGACTGTCGACAACCTCAGTCAACTAACCTTCCATGAAATATCACCAACATAAAGACAGAAAAACAACAGCCTTTATGGGGTAAAGAAAAAAACATTCTTCCCTTAGATACAGTAGTCACTGCATGACTTCTTATATTGACACAAATCTAGCAACTACCTCTTTCTGTTTTTTTTTTTTTTTTTTTTTTTGGCTGCATTCCTGAAGGTAATTGTTAGAGAGAGTTCTCTTCAAAGGTTACAGCAATCATCTACAGTTCATAACGATAACATATTCAAGTGGCTCTCATTTCCTGAATACGAATACATGATACTTCCCTATGGCTACACAAACACAATATTGATAGATCAAATCATTTTACTCAATCAACAAATGTCCACATATTATATGCAAACTAGATCATGAGCATGAGATGCTTTGTATAAGGAAAGAAGAACTCACCATACCCAAAAGGGAAGCAACAATTTTTAAGTCTCCCAAAGCCATAAATCCCAGCGCTATGACGTCAATTAAAGCAGCTTCTTCCATGCCCCTAGAACCTGCATTCATCCTCTCCTCCACAGCGCCATAATTTGCCCGAAGCAGATCCTCGGCGTCTTGTTTATTGCCCATCGTAATCATCGCTTTCACTTCATCAAACAACTCTTGCAATTCTCTCTCAAAATCCTCACCACCGTCCTCAGGTTTACTAGTGCTGTCAATAAATATGCAGTATTGATTCATTACTTGATAGCCCAACTACTAAATAGAAACCAATCCTACATATTTCAAGTGCATTTTACCATGATTCCAATTCCTAAAAAATGAAACAAGAAAGCTCAAAACTTAAAAAATCAAAAATAAAAATAAAAGCACTAGAATTATTCTCACCTTTGAACGTTCTCAGTTTCTGATGGACCAACTGAAATGAAGGCTCTCGAGGCACAATGAAGGGAAAAATCCCAGGCAGATTTCATGTAAGAAAGCTTTAAATTGCAGCTATGCTTTTGGATAGCAAAAAAGAAGCAAGCCATATCTTTCTTCTGTAAAGGGCATGATTGAAAAATTTTGCTCCTTCTAAAAGGGTTCATTATCAACATTAAAGAACACCAGTAAACAAACATGGATATAGAGACCAAATTACTCAATCATAAAAAATGAAAAAAAAAAAAGAAGTTCACTTTCTTCTTTTCCCGTTCGAAGAGTGTCAATTATTCCGCTAAAGAAAGTAAACCAAGAGAGTGACAATTGAATTGCTGTTGATAACTGAAGAAAGAAAATGAAAAACCAAAAGGGTATTTGAAAGGATTGAAATTTTGTATCAGTAAGTTTCCAGAAGACCAAATAGTCAACTGAGAGAAACATTCTGAAAGGAAAACCTCTCAGAGGAAACTATGAAGAAGAAGAAGAAGAATAAGTACCTGAAGGTGTTGAAAGAGAGAGGAGGTAGAACGCGGGAAGCTGCCGCCATTGGAGGAAGTAGAGGGTAGTAAAGGCGGTTGCTTTTTACATGGAAATTTCGAGTCTCAAGCTCTTCAAGTAGCAGACATGAACTGACGAAGTGGCCACAGGCCAAGATAACAAGACGGAATTAAGGGGTAAAGGCTCTCACTTCTCAGGCTAAATTCTCCAATTTTTTCAATTTGCGGGGGTCCGAAAGTGGATGGGTCGACTCATCTAGTCACCGAATTTTGGTAGGTGGGCTTTGAGCCTTTGAGCTGTGGGTAGGCCCTACGAATTAAGCATACCGGCCCATTCAGCCCAATAAGAAGAGGGTGTAAATTGTTGAATTATTTGCAGGGAAAAAAATAAAAAAATACCACTCGAGATGGTTCTCGATATTATGTTACATCACTTAAAAATAAATAATTTTCATTTAATTAATAAATATAAAATAAAAGACTATGACAGTATATAAAATAACATAAATGATAAATTTGCACAAAATCATGGCAAACCAACTTTTCTCTCTTTCCTTCTTTTTTTTTTTTTTTTAAAGTTTAGTTATTCACGTATTATTTTGATATGAAATTATACTTAACAAATTTCCAATCAAAATGGTATTCCTCTACTTCATCCGTTAGAAATTTATAAGGGGATCTCTATTTTAATTTCTTCAAATTATTTTAAGAACGATTAATCCAGAAAGATTGGTTTTTTTTTGGCAAAATATTGTGATCAACTTCGAAACATTACAATTTTTTTTTTTTTCATAACATAATTTGAAGGAATTGAATAAAAGGAATTTTAAGAGAAAATGAACATTTTATGTGGACACTACATACTTAAATGATGTTTCTTAAACTATATGGTACGACTTTTTTTTTTTTTTGAGGAAAAAAAGGTACAATTTTTATATTATTCAAACAAGTATATATCTTTTCATTATTATGTCAATACAATAAAGACCTTTTTTTACTTTAAACTTTAGCTGCAATATATGCTATTTTTTAGGAACAAAATATTATATATGTTGCAAATTTGTCACATAAAAAAAGGCTTAGAAAACGTTTATCACTATAGCATAAAGAGAAAAAAAAGTCTCACTACTCAATTTGGTCACATAACCAACTTTATTACGTTGCTGGAAAAAAAAAATGTAAATAAGAAATCTCACTGAAATTTGAACTATTTTAATATTAGGTTCATTTGCTTTGCAGCAAAAATTAAAGAAAAATAAAGTTGATTAATAGAATTATAAACTTTCTAAATGTCCAATGCATCACATCATTTTTAAAAATATATATAATAGCAGGAGAAAAAATAGTTTCTTATCATAACTTTTAAATTTTACGTCTTTTAAGAGTTAGAAGCAACACGTTTGTAAACTCTCTCGACAAATTCTGGTCAAGAGAGCTTGTCAAGAAGTGTTGCAAGTGCTATAGGGGTATTCACTATTCAGGTCAGGTAAGACTCATTTCGGTCGCGAAGCTGCATCAAACAAATCCTATTTTTTTTCTTTTCTTTTATTATGAAAATAGACTTTGAAAACAAAAACCCAAGTAATCTGAGAGAACCACATCCCAAAATCAAGGATTTAAATGAGAAATGTCAATTTCCTTGCTACAAGAATTGCCAAATTATGAAAAGGCCAAAACTGCCATTCAAGACAAAGTACTAAATAAAGCGACCACTTGTTTATTTGGTCCGGACTTTAACATTAAGAGTCCACTTGACCTTGCCAGGAGGCAATGGGATGGACTTGGGAAAGCGCAGTGGCACCTCATACTCTCCTACAGTTGACAAAGGCGACGGTAGATGCAGGTTTTCATGAGCTATCTGCACGCTAAGCTGCCTTGCTACCTAAACAAGCCAGCACAAAAACAATCAATATGCGTGTGTGTGTGTGTGTGTGTATTTATATATATGCATATCAGCTTCCTGAGGTTTGTCCCCATCCAACACTCATTTGAAAGCCATATCCTAACACAAACTACAAAGCAATTTTTCGAAACCACACCAAAACTTACCTAATAAACGCTTTGGTCAGTAATCAAATACGAAGAGCAAGACAATACCTCAGTTACAATGTCATCTTTGGTCACGGCTGATTGCAATTCTATAGGCTCATCTTTTGTCGAGCGAGAACGGAACTTCTCAATATTGATCAATCTCCGCAGTACCTAAAACAGATACACAGAACAGATGCCCCGGATAAAGATCTAAAGCCACACCCACACAATTCTAATCTTCATTATGACAGTGAAGCTTTACAACGCAGATCCATATACAATATACATTTCAAGAACTAGTTAATTTATTGAATATGTTGTTGACACCCCTCTTAATCTTCCACCCCCTCCCCCCCACACACACTTTTTTTTTTTTTCCTTTCCTTTCCTAGTGTAGGATTGAAAATCACATTTGAAAAGTTATCCAAAAACTCTATCAGTACTAAATATAATATCGTATATCGTATTGAACAAGTTATAAAGTTGGTGACAATGAAAGCTTTAGGGAACAAACCAATCGAGTGCTATCCAGGCGCTCAGCCGCCTTCTCATATTCTTTCATCTTATCTTCCTCCGACATATTAACTTTCGCTTCCACCTTTTCTTCCTCGGGTGGGAAAATCTGAATCATCGCAGGTAAAAAGCTTAGAATCAAAATGTTGTAAATTTATTGAAACCCCGCAATAAAGACGTAGGCAATTCTCTAATTTGGTTTTAAAAAAAAATTAACACATCCCATCACTACCGTGTAATTCTGAACCGTCAAATCACATGAAAATCGTGTCGGAACTAAACAATTGTGTAAATTTAAACGGAACTTGATAAAAATCAAACAGTCCACTCAATTTTTTGGTACCTTATTAAAGAATTCTCCTAAAGATCCTTTTTTTTTAAAGACAAAATGGAAATCTCCAAATGAGAGAGAGAGAGAGAGAGAGAGAGGACCTTGTGTTGTTCTCTAATGAGATAAGCAAACTTTTCGATATTAGGAACAGCCAGTAACTTGGGCATCAAGTGGTTGCGAAAATGCCCAGGAGCAACTTTTACAGTCTCGCCAGCTTTGCCAAGTTTTTCTATGTTCTGATCGTGTCAAAGATAATCAAAACCCGATCCAAATCAAGCGAAAAAATGGAAAATAAATGGAATTTTAAACAAAAATAAATAAATAAATCTTACATCCGTTTACTCACTGTGGTTAGTATAACTTCCAATTTCCTGTGTCTAACACCTTGAGAAACGAAGAGAAGAGGGTTCATCATCCGATCCGAGCTATGGAGGTTCATTTCCATAATAATTTGCCGGAGAGCATTTCTACCATTTTGTATATACGCCATCTAAAATTCTGAATCTTCCCCTGATTTCCAAAAAAAAAAAAAAAATCAAGGAAAATCGATCAGATTGATATCAGACATCTGGGAATCAAAGAGAAACTTTGCTCGCAAGAGAGAAAAGATTGAAGGAGAAGAAGAATGTACTTAATAATGGCGGAGAACTGGCCAAGGAAGGAAGAAAGGGAGTTTAGGGTTTTGTTTACTGTGCTCAGGGACGAAAAGAGAGCAAGGAGGTTTTATCGTTAAATTACGGAAACACCCTTGGTAAGAAAATTCTCAAACTTTATTTATTACAATCAGCAGTACATCGTATATATAGGCCCTTAAAATAATCGTATAAATGGAATTATAAGGAAATAAAAGTTAAAAAACAAAAAAATATATATATTACTGAATATAATAAGGAAATACTATTTTTTATTCAACTAACTAAGATAAATGACACCACATCTTATATCATGATCGATAATTCGATGCAACAAACATTACTTCAAAAAGATTTGTTACTTTTTTTTTTTTTAATTCCTAACAAAATCGAGATCCACAATTCACATGGAAAATAATATTGATATGTTGAACACGCGTAATCTAGTAATAGATATCATTAGAAACTAGCTATTTTATTATTATCGATGAGAAAAACACAAATGGGGTCCTTCAGAAAAAAAAAATACACACAAATTGGGCATCGTTGTGTTCTTGGCCAAATTGAACGCAAATAGGATAAACCTTTTTGCACAATATCGTTTTAGTTTTAACCATTTGTCAAACTTAAGACATTACAGTTTTTGCGGGAAAAAAAAAAAAAAGAAGTAAGATTATGAATATTGAAATTAAATATATAAAAAAAAGTGAGCCGCATGAGATTTCACCTTTGTATAAGAGAGAAAAAACTGTAATAAAAAAATAAATTTTGAGTTGTGATTTGAGTTGAGGCCTACAAGAAGATTTAACAATTTCACAGCCATTTTGAGTTGCGTCGTTTCTGAAGCCCGCCATTTAAACAACTCTGCAAATTGTAAGACTACGATCAACGGCACAAAAGGTACTGAAATGGCAATAGGAAAATTACTCTGGATCAGTTTCGCAGATACACAAAAGGAAAATTGGAACATTACAGCAAACCGAAATGAAAGCTTTGGTGACAACATATTTACAGATGGATATGGATCAGGATTTGTACTATAAACTATTATCTGCCTAACAACCAATGCAGCAAAATCTCCTTCCAAAGACCATACATCTGGAAAAACCAAAACCCCGGTAAGGCCAACTTCAAGTTACGGCCTGCTCTCCCGGATTTACGGGCCGTCTTCTTGTGCTGAGAAAGCGGAAATGAGAGTTATTTTGATATCAACTAAAAATCCGAGATCAAAAAGGAAAACTCGAGAAAGAGAAGCTTACTGCTTAAAATAAAGCCCTGGATCAAGCTCTGGGCTCTCTCAACCTGCTCAGGAACACCTGATATTTGAATGATCTTTTGAGTTAGCTCTGGTCTATCCTCTACCAGTGTTACATTGGCTCCAGATAGCTGTTTCATAAAATAAAGCAGGTCAGAAGACAAATTCTTCGAGGCTAAACTTTAAAAGAAGTTGACGTTAATGACTAAAAAGAGTAGCATATTGACCTCACTAATCATTGCAAGCTTGTTTTTTGATTTTGTTATGAGCTTTGGAACCGCAAGCTCTGGTATAACAACTTCAAGTGTACTCCTAGTAACAAGCGGCACGGCGATTCTAACGGAACTGAAAAGGATAGCATAAGTGAGATAGACATTGATTGCAAAAAAGCTGCAAGAAAGAGAGATTTCACAACATATTCACCGGACCGTTCTATATTATGAAATGAAATGTACTTTCCACCTATTCAAACCACTTGGAAGATCTTCACGGCGATTACTATCATTCTGCTTTGTTGTTTCGTTACTGGCACCTCCAGTTTCCTGCAAAATAAGGGTTCAAGTTCTTAGAATACAAACAGTCCATTGTGGAAATAATCAGTTCACTCAATTTAAATCACACCAGAGAAGTCTATCTAGACATGAACGCCAGCCAAGAGTCATAAGTCAAACAATAAGGACACTTCAGCTTCACAAAATGACATGTTATGAGGACAAAGAAAGATATTTTCCTGAACATGATGAACATAAGTAAATATTCCGGGAAATTAAAAAGAAAAGGACTACTATAAGAGAAACTAGAATCAACAGTATCGAAGAAAGTAAAGAAACCTTTGATGCCTGTGCTGCTACCACAGTTTGTGCGTTCTGGTAAGTAGCTGAAGGAGGATCATTCGCAGTATAACCGTCGCGAACTGGAGTTCTACCTGGAGACGAGCTCTCCAGTCCCATCCCACTACCCAAAGAACCTGATGCAAAGAAGGAAGGTGGTGTAGAATCCTTTTGAAAGAACTCCCTATATAAGTAACTTCGGAGTCTCGATGTCACCTCGACAAGAGCATTTCGAGCTGCTTTTATCTCTCCTACTATCTGAAAATGATATGAGGTCTTTGCATGTTAACCTTACAGGAATCAGCCATAAAAGAAAATCCAAAATGTATGTCCTTGTTCATAGGAAGTAAGCTCTTTGCAGGGGGTAATTAAGTTACTTAACTTAGATCAGGCAACTAAGAAAGCAAGCATGTCTGGAAATAGGTGTCACGACAAACCTGTACAAGTTCATCACTTCCTGATACAAAGGAAGGAAGTTCTTCTCTCGGTAAAATTTGAACATTTGCGCCAGTTAATCTTTTTATTTCTGATAATGATCCATCTCTTCCCTCTAAACATCCAATGTCACTAGATGGGACAAGTAATCTAGTGGTCACAATATTATCTTTATCTGGAATAAGATCTAGAATGCGAGTTTGGATGTGTAACAAAGCCTCTTGAGCTGGAAATAGCTCGTCATTAGGACCCTATGTACACATATGAATCAAAAGATTGGTTAAAAAAATTTCATATAGCTCCCTTCAAAAGAAAATAATTCATATATTGCAGGTACAAAACTCGTGATGAAAATTTGTCAGATACCTCCTCAGAAGAAATGATAATTATCCGTTCATTCGAACTAGCCACACTGTCAGTAACTTTAACATCCACACCAATTTCATTTTGAAGCAGATCTATAATCCCGTCAGACTCTCCAACAACACTTTCAACCTTGTCAACTGGGCAAAGTATTCGAAATACAAGGTCCTCACTGTAATAGGGCTGCATATTTTCAGCCATCATAACAGACCCCTGTTCATTTGTATAACCAGGATCATTTGTATAACCCGATGGACGCGAGGCATAACTGTTGCCCCTGACATTGGAGGCAGAAAATCGAGGTCCGAAACCAGGCCCATCCATTGCTGACCTGCGCCCTGTGTTGCTCATGTGAGGAACAAAATCGTCATCAGGAGGGAAAAAACGTTCCGGTGAATGTGATCGCCCATGGAACTGACTTCGATCACGATGCTGACTCTCCCTCAAGCGTGATGAAATTATTGCTATTGCATTCTTTACAGCATTCATATCACCTACAACCTGTAGGAAAATCGGACAAAAAATTCAATCTAGCGTTTTTCTTGCAGATTTCTTTCCGTTATAATCTATACATAGGACTTCAGTCCATGTTTGGAATCACATTTATTGAAGGAACATAATCTAACCTGCAACTTAGATATTATTATCAAACTAAACCATACACAAATACACCTTACCGACATGTGAAAAATACAAAATGAAAAGTTCCCCACAACCTACTAACATAAACCAGGCAGCAAAAGAAACAAAAGTCAAAAACCACCGCAGATTTCTCTTTCCTGCTTTCAGCCGGGTAAATGTAGCTCCCAAATGCATAAGCAATAAATGGGAATATTCACCAGCAGATTCTGCTAATGAGTCATTAAGAAACGAAAACCCCAAATGCAGCAATCTAGCCATGCATATAAATATAAAGCTAACGAGGAGTGGCTTATAAAAAAAACACCTTATTTTCTTCTGACTAACGATATAAAAAATGTGGGTAATCTTAGTCCATGTCAAAGTGCTCAAAACACTTGACATGCAACAGAAGATTGAATTCAGATCCAGTTTTTTTTTTCCTTTTTTTTAATATGTATTATTTATAGCTGTAAGTTGGGTTTCAAAAAACCTGAACAATCTCCTCCGACATTGAAACACAGCGAGGCAGATTGTGGTCTCTAGGCAAAATCCTAATCTGCGTCTTAGTCTCAATCCTCATTTGCTCAATTATCTTCCCTCCCTTGCCAAGCAAACACCCAACATGCATTCTCGAAACGACGAGCCTCGTCGCGACCCGATTCCCACCACCTCTAACCCCGCAGCAATCCTCCTCATCTCCGCCGCCTCCGCCGCCGCCGTCGCTCTCGAGAATCCGGTTGTGGATCAAGAAAAGCGCCTCCTGAGCCGGCGAGAAGGCCGGCATTCGTCCCTCGGGGTCCCGGCGGCGCGTGTCGGAAATCTCGATGATCCGCTCCTCGTCGCCGGGCATGAGCTCGTGGACGTTGATCCACGCGCCGGTGTGCTGGCGAATCGACTTTATGATGCTGCCGGACTTGCCGATCACGCCTCCGGCCTTCACGTCGTGGCAGAGGATCCGATAACTGGTCGTCACCGTCAGGGATTGATCCTGTTGTTGAGGCTTGTTGGAGGAGACCCTTCCCCCTCCTACTCCTCCTACTCCTCCTCCGCCTCCTCCACCGGCTCCAACACTTCCGCGGTGGCGGTGGTGGTTGTTGTTCGCCCCATAATGGTGGTTGTACCTTGGTCTGGTCCTAACAACAGTCTCAGAGTCATAATCTTGGTCATAGTAGTAGTTCCTCTTAGATCTAGACCTCTCCATCGCAAACCTCCTCTCAAAAGCCAGGGTTTCTTCACAAAAACGACAAAACTAACAACTTCACCACTGTCCGATATCAAGCATTGTGGAAAATCAAGGTTCAAAACTCAAAAACAATTAGGGCTTTTTCTTTTGCCTGATTCAGTCTTTGTTTCTAGTGGAAATCGAACTGAATGATACGGTTCCAGATCTCGGTTCGGTTCTGTTCAAAAGTCTTTCGTTTCTGCAAAAAAAATTCTCTTTCTGTCTTTCTTTCTCATTTGTGTTTGTTTCTAGGGAAAGTGTGTGAAGAAAGTTTCAAACTTTGAAAACCCTAGGTGAGATAGATGACACGGAGAATCTAGGAAGGAGAGTTTGCAGAGTATTGTCAGCTACAAGATTTTACCACTTCGGTAAGCCACACCCTGGTGCTCACTTTCCTATCCCTCTTGTGAGGTCATATATATAGTCAAATTTTGACATGTTTGGGACTTGCAAAACGACGTCGTGTAAATATCTGCTTGCAGCTTAATAACTAATCATTTATTTGGGCACTAATTGCGTCGAACTAATTTGAAAATTGTTAGGCAAGGAAGGTATTGCCGTTTGGTAGGTAGAAAAGGAAAAGCATAATTTCTCCTCTACAAAAAAAAAAAAAAAAAAAGGAAAGAAGAAATAAATAAAACATTAATTTCTTTTTTATAATTTGTAGTTGTAGGTATCATAAATAATCGTAATTTCTAGGTATAAAATTTTGAATCCCTGAATAGTAAAATGTACCTTCAAATCATATTTTTCTTACTATAATTTCTTAAATGTTTAGGCCATGCTTAGAATTGATCTCGTTTTTATTTTTCACGTTTTTTGAGAAAAAAAAATGAAAACGTTTTTAAAATGACGTTTGGCGCAATAAAGATAAAAAAGAAAATGAAAACGATTTTTTAGTTTAGTGTAAAATTAAAGAGAAATAAAAAATAATTTTAGCCGTTTTTCATTTTTTGTTTTCGTATTCTTCTCTCTCGAGCAGAGAGAAAGAGAGACATTAATAGTTTTTTTACACTGAAAATAATCTCTTAATAAAACTACCAAACGCATTTTCAAAAATGATTTCTGTCTGAGATTGAAAGCATTTTCATTTTCATTTTCATACAAAAAATAAAATTATTTCGGAACGAGTTCTAAACGCGCCATTAATTTCACATATGTTCTTTTTAGTTTTAGATATAATTTGAAGGTACATTCTACTGAATGGGTTCAAAATTGTATAATATAGTTGTAGGAGCTAAAAATACACCTAATTTCACTTCACTATAAGGGAATTAAAACTTTGAGTGATGTAATGCAATATACAGATAAAACAAAAGCATGCATTAATTGGAAACCTAGCAAAATACCCCAACAATTAAATCATGAGCAACAAACTATAAACTTTAATTGTCGATATTGGCTAACATTTTTCAAACGGCAAATTTTCATATCAAAACAGAAAGTTAGACGCACAAATATGACAGAAAAAAAAATTTAAATATAAAGAGAGTCGACCTAAAATAAAAACTAAATTTACTAAAAATTTCCTTTGAGATGCTTAAGAGGGAAAAATGCGTACCAAGTTCAATTTGATATCAATTTTTTTTTGAAACTTTTTATGCTCGTTAACTTAAGTCTCGTTTATTTCACCGATTTAAGTTTAGATTTTGAGTTTTATTACAGTAAAAAGTTATTAGAAATAGTCACATTTAACTTTTTTGTTACAGTAAAAAGCTCTCACATAAAGTCATATCTAACTTTTTTGTTACAGTAAAAAACTCTCACATAAAGTTACATCTCAACTCAAATTAAAAATTCAAATAAGTAAATTAAATAGACCCTTATTAAATACTACAGTCTCATTCAATTTTTTAATTTAAGTTTTTAATTTAAATTGATATATAATTTTTTATAAAAATTTTTGACAAAAATATTAAATGTAAATTTTTATAAATTTTTTTTATTATAATAATAAATTAGAGAATTGAACCAACGAGAGCTACATGAACCTCAGAAAAATAGACCGGATAAAAAAAAGTCTTTAACGTTTATGATGGGTGAGACAAATTAAAAGGAAGAAGAGAGAGATAAGATACCGTGTCCGTGTGAATCACGTCTAGGACGTCAATGCAGCGTCCAACACGCCTCAAGACTCGACACTCGAGACACGAGTCAATGCCAGGATGGCAAAGACGTAAGACTTATTCTTTTGAGTAAAAAATTTTTAAAAAAAATAACTTGAATTATAATTTTATTTTAGTTCGTATTTTTTTAAATTTAAATTTGAGTTTAAATTCGAATTTAAAACTAAAACTTGAGTTCAAGTTTTCCCTTCAATTCGAGTTGAGAAACTTGAACTCAAATTAATAAATAGTATTTTTTCTATTCTTAAAAATGTTATAACTTTTTCGTTTTAATTCTGATTGAGATGATTTTTTTTCTATGCGTTGACAACGAAAGACGAATAAAATCCGACCCATATACCCTATTAAAATTTTTCATCAGCATTGAGTTTTCATTAAAATACTATCTAAATACAAATTCAAGTTTTGACTCACTCAAACACAAACTCAAAAAGATTCTTATCTCAAACCATAACTCAAATGTACACAACAAAACACAAACTCAAGTTACAAGTTCAACTCAAGTTATAACTCAAATTCAACTCAAGTTAAACTCCAAAAGAACAAGCCCGTAATATTTGGGAAAGACGCTGGGCAATTTCTAAGGGCCCGTTTGGTTGAAGGATCCGGGTCACATAATCAGAGTCAAGTTCCTGAATCCATGTTTGGATCCACCAAGTTCCCGAATCCATGTCCGGTTGATTTGAATCAGGGTCTGAGTCATGTGGGTCCTGATTCAGAAATCAACTCTCCCACCCCCCCCCTCTCTTAATTCAGCCCAACTGCAATCAGGGAACAGTACACAAACAGTGGACTGAGAGAAATGACTATCATCACCTTCCACACGCAAAGCTCACTACTCTGCCAGAGAATCTCCACTAAAAAACGACGATCAAACTAAGAATTAGCTAACGAAGTTCCAGAAAGCACATAATTTGCAATGAAAAATGAATCAAAAACCTAAATTTCAAAACATTCTATCCAATGCATAGTAATTTACAATCCGAATATTTGGAAGTAATCGGCCGACTAATCCACCGGCTGAATGCAACGGCAAGACGGACAGACGAGAAACAACGCTGCCTCAGCCGCGGCGTTGTAATTCCAGCACTTTATATCGAGTTTAAAGGCAGTTTGGGAGCTGAGAAAATTTTTCCCGGAAAATTGGAATTTCCTGAGAAAATCAAGTCAGCCACTGGGGGGGAAGAAGAGCCTGGACTTGTCGGAGCAGGGAGAGAAGCGAGAGCGAGACTGAGCTCCGACGGAGAATTCGATTGTGAAAGATAGGACTCGCCGGATAACGGCGGAGAAGAGTGGGGTCCACACCCTTCGCGTCAACATCGCCGGAGATTTTTGGATTTTTTTTTCTTTTTTTTTTCCGGAGGGGTGGGGTTCTCTACAAGTCTACACTTCTTTTTCTTATAATGGACTAAAAATAAAATTTTCAAAAAAAACCCTTTTAAAATACATTTGTAAATATGTAACATAATTTCATTCAAATGTTTAATGAGGGGAACCCCTTTCTAAATCAGTACTACTGTGATGGTGTACCGATTAGCAAAATCGATCCGAACAATTATGATAAATTTGATAACGATGACACTGATGGTAATGTCCCTGAAGGGCCAGTTGTAACAGGAGGTAGTGTTAGTCGTACAAAAATGGGTCGTTTTAGGGATCGCCTTACAAATGAAATGTGGGTGGAATACCAGTGAAGCCGTGAGAGACAAGTTTGATATATGCTTGGCTTGTTATATAATTTCATTTACATTTTTTTTAATTTCATAGTTAGCTTGTTATAATTTTGAGTTATAATTATTTGTATAATTTTTTTTCTAGTACTTCATTTTTTTATTATATAACAAATTATATTTTTTAAAATTACACGTAACGAATTATATTTTTTTAAATTACACGTAACAAATTATATTTATTATATAATTTTTTAAATTACATTTATTTTGGCCATGATTCAAATTCAGAAAACATTGGTTCGAATCACATTTCAAGTTAGAATCAGAATTATGCATATACACATCTAAACGAAGGTTCTAATCACTATGAGGTGTTGTTCTTTTAGAGTGTAACTTGAGTGTAATTTTTTAGTTGAATTTGAGTTGTAACTTGAGTTGAAGTTGTAACTTAAATAAAGTTGAGTAAAATTGAATAAAGTTGAAACTTAAAATAACATAAACTTGAATAAAATTGAAACTCGAGTTGTATTTTTTTGAGTTTTTTGAATAAAAGAATATGCCCATCATTATTTAAATCATGAATCATGATTCTGAATCAAATGACTGTTCCGTTTGGTTCATGAATTAGAATCATGTGATTAGAATCATTTTTGATTTACGTATATTTTTTATGAGAGAAAATATTATAACGAATCACGAATCATAATTCAAATCAAGAAACGAATTCATCTATCAAATATCACATAAGTAATCATGATTTCAATTCTTATATCAAATGTACCCTAAGGACCCGTCAAATACGTAATCCAAAAGAGCGGAAGAGTAGAGAAGCAGAAGCTCAAAAGTGCTCAAACACACAGACCATGGCTTCTTCGACTCTACCGTTCACTCTCTCCCCTGCTTCGCGTCCCGTAAATTCTCCTTCTTTTCTTTTCTGTTTGGTTCTCGAGAAAACATTCTCTTCCTCAGTTGAATATTTGATTTCTCATTTTCTCCCAAATGCAGAGGATAGAGCTGCGAGCTGGAAATTCGATGGCTTGTAACTGCTCATTTAGGTCGCAGCCACTGGTAAAAGTTATTTTATTGCTGTTTTTTTTCTTTTTTATCCGAAGTTTCATTTCTTTTATTAATTTTTCCGAAAAAAAATTAGGTCTTATCGCAAATGAAGAAGGACAGTAGAGGCCGGAGAGTTTGGCGGCGAAGAAAATTGGTAAGAAAGGAACAACTCTGAACTAACTTTTCCTTAATTAGCTGTTTCTTCAATGTGATTTACTGTAAAGTTGATATTTTGTTTTCCACTTCAATTGGGAATTTGGGGGTTTAGGTATTTGAGATTAAAATTTAAAGTTTGAGTTCTTTCCTGCCCAATTCATGGAAATAGAAGTTTGAAACCAGGAATTACGGAGTGCTTTTTCTCTATCGTTTTGTGTTTGTAATCTACAGAATGTCTTTGGTCAATGGTTTTCTCCTTAAAGGTTAATCTGATTGTTGTTTGCGCAAAGTCTAGATTTTTTCTATTGAATTCATGGAAGCAGAAGTTTAAAATTAACACTTCCTGTTTGATAGGAAAGAGAAAAGATAACTAAAAATACAAACGATGGAAATTTTTTTTTTTCTTTCGTTTACTTGGTACAGTAGGTAGGAAATAAAATGTTATTTTTGCTTCTTTCGTATTGGAAGTTAAACAGAGAGATAGAAAAAGCATTATAAAGATAATAATTATTTTTTTAAAGGAGTTGACAAAACAATAACGACTTTATCCAATATATTCTTTATCAAATTCCTTTTCTAAAAAAAAAAAATGACTTTCTCCAATAGGTTCTCTTTATTAGTAAGGTGACATTAAATCTGGTCAAAATCATTTTAGATTAAAAAAGTATATAGAAAAAACAATTTATGATATAGATCTGGTGGCTTAAAATGGAGAATTAGCGGTAGTTCACTGATCCTGCTGAGAAACAAAAAAAAAAAAATTTAGATTTTACTATCCCATTTTGCTTATTCTCTCTCTTTTTCCTTTCACAATTAGAGAGGAAAAAGAAATTATAATAATAATGGGACTCACCAACATTTTGATCCACCTTTATTTCATTCCCCACCCAAAAGTCCTTCATACTAACCAACCCAGTTTATTAAAAATCACCTAACCACCTCTCCACTCATTTCCCATCCCAAAAATTGCTCTCCACTTGTTTCCTTCCCTCCACTTCTCATTCCTACCAAACGTACTAACGTGGTGTTACTCAGTGCTTTGTCATCATCAATGTGTTTGAAACCAAAGTTTGTTTTGCGATATAGCCAGGTAAAAACCTCAATCATGATAATTTATATTGGCAAAAACATGATATTTTTGTGCAGCATTGAACTTGAGTCCTAATTCAATAACTCTCTGTCTTTCTAGACAAAGAAAGATGATATGCTGCGTTACAAGCTGGAGAGAGTACCCTTCTTAGAGGAGCAAGTCAGGAAGATACAGGATGACGGAAAGCTGCTAACTATGGATCTCGAGAGACTACTTCTATCGGAGGAAAACCGGTTCGATTTTGTGAATGAGATAGCAGCCGAGGCCACCGAGTATGTCGTGAACAACAGGGATGAGTATGGAGGCCAGAAGAAAGCCATTCTTCATGTCATCAGTAACCGAGTGAATGATGCTGGGTTTTACAGGCCAGACGCTTATGCAGAGACTGATCCATATAAGCCAGGGCCCTCCTATTTGAAGCAGTATTTTACATAAACAATGTGAACTGGTGATATTAATCATGAGGGTTAAAACTTTCACTCTTCTGGTTAATTGGTTACAGTTATTCACTTGCTGATGATTTATATGCAAATTAGATGTATTTCAGAATGTTGGATTTGATTCATATAGTTGTGGTTGATAATTGATGATAAAGCTGAAAAATTCCAAGGCTGAATATTCACAAGGTTGTGGTTATGTACCATATCTAAATCAATCTTGCCTTTCTCTGTTGGAATTTCATATGTAATAGTGACCTAAAATCCTACATCAGATTAGCCCAAGTAAAGCCAAGGTCAGTCTTGTTGTGTTGCTGGTGTACTCTTGAAGCTGCACCATCACCCAACAGTACTACTATTTTTATTCCAAAATGAATTCTAGTAATTTTCTTCTCCATAAAAACTAAAGGAAAAAAATCTAGCAACAAAAGAAAAAGACCAAAATAGCCTAAGACCTCTTGGTTCAGTGGCGCTAGCGGGTTTAGGTGGGGTGGGATTTGGCGGAAGATTATGGATTTAATTTCGTCTTATATAAAAAAAGACTAAAAAAACATTACTAAATTTTTTGTGTATATTACTGATAATCACCACCCAAATATGTCTATTTGTGTGATTATAAGTAATAATAAATCTCATTTTTCTAAACTACATGATAGAAACTACAAAGCAAAGTGTACTAGCAGAAAAGTGTGTACTAAGGTACTACCACTCTTACTAGCAACCAAAATCTTTTTTAAAAAAAAATTAAAAAAAAAATCTCCCTCTCTCTTTTTAATTTAATTTAATTTTACTTTTTTCCTGCTTTGGGGATTGGCATTTATAGGGGAAAACGATGGGTCGTAGGTGAAATGTAGGCATGCATTGTACAGAAAAAAGCAAAATAAATTAAAGATCAGGTTTTTTTTTTCTAAATAAAAAAAACGAAAATAACTATCTACATCTTCTGGTCCCACCAAACAGTGGGGTCAGCCACGTGGCAAGAGCACAATCGTGCAAAAGTTAGAGATCCAATAGTAAACTGCAAGCATCTCATCCGTTAAATCAGTTAGAGGCAGAGCTTCACCTTCTTATCCTCCACAAAATCAAGAACCAACTCCACCACCATTGTTTTTGATTCCTTTGTGTGATTCTTAACAGAACTCCTTCACAACTCCGCTTTCCTCAAACTCAGGAAGCTACAATTACACTTGTGCTGCTAAAACAAATCATAATAATGGCTTTGTTAAGCCAACAGTTGCAGAGGTTTCTCTTGACCAAATACATCACCTGCCACACCAACAACAACAACAACAAAGGCCTTCTTGGTACAGTAAAAGCAAGAGGCCGGAGTACTAATTGCTCCGCCATAGCCATCGATGCGCAGTCTTCTTCCTTGACAGACGTTGCCGGTATCCGGTGGGGTTCAACGAGCTTGCAGGGCCCCCGGGAGGAGATGGAAGACGACGTCGTCGTCCGGTCTGATGGCCTTGATGGCTTCTCCTTTGCTGCTGTTTTTGATGGCCATGGGGGCTTCTCCTCTGTCAAGTTTCTCAGGTAGTTAGGATAATTGTAGTATTTGGTATTGTTGGATTTGATTCAATTCCATATTGTGAAGATCATATTTTCTGTTGATGACTTTGATTGATTTGTTCTCTGCTTGTTTTTATTGTCAATTCAAATCCATCAATAATCAGACTATTTAGTAAGAAGACTAAATATCAAGTGGGCCACAGACAGGAAATTTTCCCGGGCCAGATATGAAAACCTTGACAAATATGTAATATAATTTTTGTTGAAGAGGGACATACTTAGTGGGGGTATAATTATAACTTTTTTCATTAAATGGGGACAGTTAAAATTATAGATAAATTTTGTATAGAAAATTTAAAAAAAAAAAATATGGGGACAGTTAAAATTATAGATAAATTTTGTATAGAAAATTTAAAAAATAAAAAATAAAAGTGCCCCGTTCAAGTAATTGTGGCTCCGCCACTGGTCCAGAGTTGGTATGTTAGTATGTGATTGGTTAAAAGCCAGCATAGAGAGACTGATGAAAAAAATGGTGTTTTGTTTGTATCTATTGGGTTTGATTGCATTTTTATAGGGACGAGCTCTACAAGGAGTGTTGTGCAGCTTTACAAGGTGGGATTCTACTGAGAGAAAAACGTTTCAACAAGATTAGAGAGGCAATTGAAGAGGCTTTTCAGAAGGCCGATAAAAAGTTGTTGGATTGGTAAGAAAACGAACATTTTATAGAAAAAAAAAAAAAAAACAAATGCGATGATATGAAAGCAACACTACTTTGTGTAGTCTCAATATGATAGGTGTACTATTCTATATCATTGCATTGAAGGATTAGATGGTGCTTTTCATTTTCCGAATTAGGCTTGAATTGAACGGAGAGGAGGATGAATCCGGTGCAACCGCTACTCTTTTGTTTGTCGGAAACAAAACGTTGTTCATTTCTCACATTGGGGATTCATGTGCGGTATGTATCCAATGCAATTTGATGTAAAAACAAAAATGTTTAAGAATCTTATGTGAACATGTTCGTCGGAAACAACAGGTTCTATCTCGTTCCGGTAAAGTAGAAGTGTTGACCAATCCTCATCGACCGTATGGAAGCAACAAGGTCTCTCTTCAAGAAATTAGAAGGATCAGAGAAGCAGGTGGATGGGTGTGTTGTTCTGTTCTCATTTTTCATATGCATTTTTCTTTATTTCAATAACAGCACTTCAGTCACATTGTACTTGGAGTCCTTTTATAGCTGTTAAGACCGTCAATTTTCTTCTCGTTTTTGAAGATTCCTGTTGAAATCCTTTTGCCTTCTTTGAAGTTCTATTTCTATACCGAAAGCTGGTTGTGACTTTTTAACATGGTGTCCACAGATTGTAAATGGAAGAATTTGTGGAGACATTGCTGTATCTCGTGCTTTTGGCGACCAGCGGTTTAAAACAAAGAAAAACGAGTTAGTTCTTTAGGTTTTTCTTGCCATTTTTCCAGCAAAAAAGGAATTGTTTTTAGTTTTTAATGCAGAATTTAGCATATTTCTCACCAGCATGTATGGTCTTATGATTTTGTACATTTAGGATGGTGATGAAAGGAGTTGAAGGAGGGAGATGGTCTGAAAAATTTGCTTCTCGGTATGTCGCCTAAGATGTTTCTTAAATATCTTGCTACTCTGATCGTAAGCTTCAAATATATAATGCAGTTCAATCTCTAGGGAACCATATCAATGCACACTTTCTTTAAAACATCAAGAGATTTCAGATCCTTTTGGTTTAACCATTTTATGTTATGGCAGTGTACAGTTCAGTGGAGATTTGGTTACTGCATCTCCAGATGTTTTTCAAGTGCCACTCGGGAAAGGCGCGGAGTTTGTGCTATTAGCATCTGATGGCTTATGGGATTATATGGACAGGTGACATCTCTTGATTCTTTTTTTTTTTTTAATACTTTTACAGTGATTCTCACCTAATCAATTTTGCTTCGTTTCAGCTCAGACGCAGTCGAATTCGTTAGGAACCAACTTCGACAACATGGAGATGTTCAGGTATTGTTTGGCAGCATAATAGCTTTTACACATATACTAAACTGAGATTCTGAGTTTTATTATTTAATTTAGCTTTCAGTTACAACTAAAACGAAACCTCCATCTTGTTTTACTTTCAGATCGCTTCTGCAGCACTTGCTCAAGCTGCTCTGGTAAAAAAGATCATGTCACTTCTCTTTTACACTTTACAGATTAGTTTAATCAATACGTTTTGTCATACTAATGATCTAAACTTCGTAAATAAAGGATCGACGCACACAAGATAATGTCAGCATTGTCATTGCCGATTTCGGGTATGCGGCTTTTTGTACATGCTTTCCTTAAACTGCTCTTTTCCCACTTTGTTAGCCATGTTTGTTTCACTGCTTCTGAATGACTTTTTCTTGAAATCTTGTGTAGGAGAACGGATTGGCAAAGCTTGCCGGTTCAAGAACAGAACATCATCTTCGAATTGGGGCAAGCTTTTGCTACTATCGGCATCGTGTCGATTGGAATTTGGATGACATCTCTGCTCTCATGATAAGTTTGATGCACACCTGACATTGTACAGGAATCAGCATAGTAAACAAAATAAAATGTAGATGTTAATACTTGGTATCAGTATAACGTAATTGTACATGTCTCGTACCTTTTTTTTTACGTGCCTTTTGGTTTTGGCGACTTGGGGTAATATTTGGAAAAGTGAATTTTGCACTTTTTTATCGGTATTTTTCTCTTCTAAACATTCATATTATCCCTTTCTGTCAAAAGAATGAAAGATACCAAAAATTTTTTATTTAAGAAAAACAAATATATTACAATACATATCTTTTTGAAGACAAAAAAATGCCCGTCATCTATGTCATGTACAACAACGAAGAAATCGGATCTCTTTGGTAAACGGCATCCCGTACCAAGAGAGGTTTCACCACTTTCTACATCGAAAGCTTTTTTTTTGCTGTCGATTTTTTGTTTTCCATCAAAAGCTTTTGAGTTTCATAAATCTGTTATTACTACATCCTCCCTTATTTATTCCACAAAATCACTGGATAATTCCCTTTTTCTCATTTCTACCCACTAAAATTTTTCCCCCAAAAAAAAAAAAAAAAAAAAAAAAAAAAAAAAAAAAAACTGCTCATTTATACAAGTTCGTTGAAAAGACGTATCGAAACTAACAGAAGTTTTATAGCAGCTTCAAATTCACGGAAGGAAAAAGAGTTCCCTAATTCTCATTTAAGGCATCACATGAAAACCATACATTAGGAGCTCAGAAGTCACTCGTCAAACGCGCATTAAATTTTGAGGACGACCGATGAGATGAACATTACTAGTCAATTTAGAAATTGAGAATAAGTTAACCGACACCCAAATAGGATAATCTTGACCAGAGATTCTCTTTGGTTTTGGCAGTTGAGGTTGTGGTCATTGCGCGGAAACTGGAGCATTTTCGATCATTTCCAATTGAACGAAGTAGTATAACATGACATTAATTCTAATATAATATTAATTTTAAGGACTGTATTATTGATAACCTTTTCTATCATAGACCAATAATAGTGCACATTTTAAAAATCATCGTAACATTAAATAAATATCATATGTCACACCCATTAATCACTTCTAGATAAGACCAGTTTTTCAGAAAGAACCCGAAGACAAATCCTAATTACTTGTCCATATTTTTTTACTTGTAAGTTTTTTTTCCCCCTTTTTTTTTTTTTTTTTTTTTTTTTTTTTTTTTTCTTTCAGTCTTTGGCTCTCTGCCCATATTTATGTGTCTATTCCCGAACCAACCAGCAAAAGAAAGGGAAAAACAAAAAATGTCTCTTGCATACTTGATCCTTCTTTTTCTCTACCTCTTGACGAACTCCACTTGCAACGAACAGGACAATAAGTTCCGTTCTAGGCTACACCCCAAACCGGAGGACAACGATTGTTCTCCTTCTTCCTGTGGTAAACTCCATGGAATAAGATACCCTTTCTGGCTTAAAACTCATTCAAAAACCCGTCCCAAGAACTGCGGCGACGAAAGGTATAGCCTCTCCTGCGAGAACAACATCACAAAACTACAACTTTACGCTGAAAAATACCATGTCGAAGCAATCAACTACGACAACGAAACCATCCGAATTGCGGATCCCAACGTTCAGAAGAACAACTGCTCCTCTCTCCCTCGCTGTTCTCTCTCCGACTACAACTTCAGTTATGGCGATCCATACGAGCTCAGCCAACTAAAAACGTCTGTCATTTTCCTGAGTTGCGAAAATCCAGTTGTGTCTACTCTATACGTAGAGCGCAGTGCTGGTTCTTGTGCTAATACTGGTGCTTTGACACAATCCAAAAGGCATTCTTATGTTGTGGTCAATGGAAGCGTGTCTGATCTGGTTGACTCCTGCACTGTAGAGCTAATGTTTATGGTGTCGAGCCTCGAAAGGAGTTACGGCAAACCTTCGTTTGCAGACATCCAAGACGGGCTCGCTTACGGGATTGAGCTTTCATGGGGGAGAACGCTTATAGAATATGAAGAACTCGGTAAGTTTAATGCAAAACTCAAATTTTTAATTAATATGCCTTCCCATGATCTTTTTAGCAGTTTTTATTAATGTTGTTCTCTCTCGCTATACGTATTTATTTGGAATTAAAAGTCCTAGCTCTTTATTACCGAATTGCTAAAGAATAAAGTAAACAAGCGCGTACAAAATTTATAGTGGTTCACCTTTAATATAAGAGATACATACGTCCACTTTCCGCTTTTCTTTCTGCTTTTAACTGCAGCAGAATTTTGCTATGACCAAAAAATTAGAGAGAAGTTTAACAAGCACGGTTCACTTCAATATATTCCTTTAAAGTTTTATACTAGGATAAGATACCAGAGGATGAATAATTTGCTGATATAAGAAGAATATGTGACACTGTATTATTGTTAGTATCTTAGGCCTCGTTTACTTCACGAATTCAAGTTTTTAATTTGAATTGAGATGTGACATTTTCTGAGAGCTTTTAACTATAGTAAAAGAGTTAGATGTGATATTTTCTGAGAGACCTTATATACTCTGAAACTTATCTTATTAATCAGCTCTCTGCTAATCTTTTTCTTTGTTTTTCTGTTTTGGGATTCTTACAGAGCAGAGCTACTCAGTATTACTAGCAATTGGTAAGATCTTCTAACTTCTCCTAAGTTTTCACGTAAGGGAGAGTTGTATAAGGCGCAACACACAATACATACATACATACATTCATACATACATACATACACACACACACACACACATATATATATATATATATATATATATATTGGGAAACTACTAGTGGCTTAACCAGGCTACACTTTCACTCATGTTTCTGTTGGGAATTCTGGCACAGGAGGGGTGTGGTTATCAAAGGCCTTGTACGGGAGTCTAATAATGACGATTATTTTGTTGATTTACAAACGGAGAAAGCATCATTTATCAATGGATGGATGTATCGAAGAATTTCTACGAAGTTGTAACAATCTCATGCCAGTAAGATACTCATACTCTGAGGTCAGAAAGATGACTAAAGGCTTTGCAGACAAATTGGGTGAAGGAGGCTATGGCTCTGTATATAAAGGAAAACTTCGTAGCGGTGGCTTAATAGCAGTCAAAATGTTGGGTGGTTCCAAAGCTAAGTTCGGCGAAGATTTCATAAATGAAGTTGCTACCATAGGAAGGATTCACCACGTGAATGTTGTGCAACTTATTGGGTTTTGCGCCGAGGGATCGAAGCGCGCTCTTGTTTATGACTTCATGCCTAAGGGGTCCCTTGATAAACACATATTTTCCAGTGATGGAACTAACTCTTTGAGCTGCAAGAAGAAGCTTGAGATTTCGCTAGGAGTGGCTCGTGGGATCGAATATCTTCACCGAGGATGTGAGATGCAAATTCTGCATTTCGATATCAAGCCTCACAACATTCTTCTAGACGAGAATTTCGTTCCGAAAGTTTCCGATTTTGGGCTAGCGAGATCATGCCCGTTGCGCGATAATATTGTCTCTCTGACCGCAGCAAGAGGAACCTTAGGATACATAGCTCCGGAGTTATTCTACAAGAACATCGGAGGAGTCTCCTACAAAGCCGACGTCTATAGTTTCGGAATGTTGTTGATGGAAATGGCGAGTAGAAGGAAGAATTTGAATGCGGTTGCCGAGCGTTCGAGCCAAATTTACTTTCCTTCGTGGGTGTATGACCAATTTAGTGAAGGAAAAAACGTGGTAGAGATGGAAAATATAGTTGAAGAGGATTCAAAAACATTAAGGAAGATGATTATTGTAGCATTATGGTGTATACAGTTGAAGCCAATTGATCGTCCATCAATGAACAAAGTTATAAAAATGCTTGAAGGAGATGTTGAATGCCTACAAATGCCCCCAAAGCCTTCCCTATCTCCACAAGAGAAACCGGTATTGGTAGAGCATGCTCCGACGCAATCATCAATACCATCAAACGACTCGACGACTCTACCAAGATAAAGTTTGGTTTCAATGGCAAATGGGGAGATATTGTAACTGATTAAGACATAATTTGTAATTACTGCTTGATCTTTTATTGCTATTTAAACTTTATTTAAGACCAAGTAACGTCATTTATTCTTGCGTCCAGCTTTTGTAAACAAGCGGTTCTAAACAATTGTGACAACTTAGGAATAAATGTAAGAAAATTCCAAACTTATGTTAATGTAAATTACTTGATATTCAACACTTTCTTCTCTTTTTGCTGTTTGTCTATTTGTTCTGTTCATCGTCGTTTTTCAGCAGACGCTGTTCTTAGATTGCATTTCATACTTTTTGTCCTTTATCTTCTTGGTGTGGTTTTATGTATAGTTTTTTTTTTTTTTTTTCTTTCTTTCTTTTTGTTTTCTCATTGTTGATTTTAACTGCTGCTGCTTTTGCAGTTATTGTCGTTTTTCTATCTTTATGCAGTTGTTGACGTCCTTTTCTTTCTTTTTCTTTTTCTTTTTAAAATTTTTGTTGTTAATGCCATTTAAACTTATCGTTTTTATTGTCCTTTTGATGTCGCACCGGTTATGTGGTTACAACTTACAATCGTTTCTAGTTTATGCCCTTTTTTGGTGTTCTCGTATTCTAGTTGATGTTGTTTTCATGTTATTGTGGTTTTTATTAAATGTATTTGTGTGATGTATGGTGTCTGTACTTGACTCTTTGTGTCGTTTCTAGAGTTGACGTCGTTTTTATTTTTTAATTTGATTTTGTAGTGGTATCGTATTTTGTGCTGCTCTTGTTTTCCTTTTTTGTGTCAATTCTACATTGACGTTGGTTTTTTTATTGATGTTGTCGTTATTTAGTTTATTGTCATTTTTTACGTTGTCTTTTTCATATTTGGTGTCGTTTCTCGAGTGGACACTCTCTCTCCTTTTTTTTTTTTTTGGGGGGGTTGTCAAGATGATATCGTTTTCCAAACACCCGGTTTCGTTTCGTTTTATGTTTTGTCTTGTTTCTTTATTGACGTCGTTTGTTATTTAGGAGGAAGTCGTTTGTTGTTGTTTTGAGTCCTTTATTTACACCAATATTCTATCTCGTGTTGTACCATAATATTATTATTTTTATCCATATATTATCTAAATATAAGAATTTAACCTGATAATAAATGGTAAATACCAAAATTATTTAAGCAATTAAATCAGTTGTCAAAATAAGGATATGGGTGCAGAAAAACTTATGAGAGCTTTTGACTGATATTGCACATTTTGTTCAAAGTTTATACTACAACTCCATTTAACATAGTACTGTTTTCAGTGAAAAATTTACTGATATATCCCCAGGATACACGCATTTCTCTTCCACGAATCCTTTCTTTTCTTTTCTTTTTTCGGGAATCTTTTACAAGTTCCTTGTTTTTTCTACACGTTATTTGAAAATGAAAACTGAACACCCCAATTTTTATAGCAGATTTAAGGGCATATGTAACAACAATTTGAAGCTTTCCATGGTATATATGCAAGGCTTCCGAAAGAAAGATCCATTAAATAAATAATATATGATAAATTCACAACCGTGAATTAAGTTTGTGTACCGGCTTCTTTTTTTTTTTTTTTTTTTTTTTTTTTTTTTTTTTAATGCACCTAAAATAAAGGTCGAGACAAGCAATTCAGTTTTTCTATATATATGCGCGCATATATATATATATAAACATAAATATATAACTATCAACTTTGCACAGCAATTAAATTTGAGCTATCAACTAACTTTGCATAATAATTAAATTTGAGTGGTTGTACCCTAGGGGGCTCTAAAATAAGTTGGAACTTTTGGATCAAATATAAAAGAGTACTAGTGGAACTTGACTCGGCAGCTCTTGAGCTCTACAAAGAAAGACAATAATATATCAGTCTTTAAGGGTGGAGGGAATAAAAATGTCGCAGTGATGTCCTATCGATATATTGGCTTATATATATATATATATATTAATGCATATTTGGCCCACATAATTATCACGGCACAGATTTTGTTCAAATCAGTCTGCGAGTCTCATGTGTTGGCAATATTTAGCACGTGGAAAGCCATGCAGAAAAGGCAAAAAAAAAAAAAAAAGGAAAAAGAATATCATATTTAAGCAAAAATCTTGTACGTTCTCTTTCTCACTTGCAATTAATCGTAAGCATCTTGTACTGCAAAAGTAGTACTGATCAGCATGAGTTTTGGGGTTATCTTAATAAAAAATTTACCAATTAACAACTCACTAAGCTAAGAACAAGCGCAAACGACATATTGCTGACCAAACACGCATTCAACAATATTCTTAAAGTAAAAATGTCTTTCTTTCTCTCTCATTTTGTTTATTCTAATTCAATCATACCCACACAAATCAATATAATAAATATGTATGTATGAACGTATATTCTTGTAAGAATTGAAGAATTAAATATTCCAAGAAAAACTCATAATAATTATTTTCTTCAAACTTAATAGTTAAGTAATCAATATAGTATATTATATATATATATATATATATATATATATATATATATACGGTTCATCCCTGAAGGCATGCATAGTGTTTCGTTAAGGGTTTGGTCTTTTCCTTCTACTTGGGTCGTGCCTGGGGTTGGGCTCAGCATCATCATAATCCAGAAATGCATCAGGCATCAAAAGCTTTCTCCAGTTGATCATGCGCTTTCCATCCTTCGCATGCTGAAAATTGTAAGCATCTGTCTAAAAATTTTCATATATTCAAACATATATACATATATCTGTGTGTGTTAACTTATATATGAGGAGCATTGTTGTTGCATCTTGGTGTAAATATATGTTTTTCTTTTCATTTCTATCACATATACATATTGCTTACAAAACTTTAGACTGTATATATAGTACTATACCTCTTGATGAAGTGAGTGGATGGGGTTATTTGCCTTGTTGAAGCCTTCAACGATACCTGCAAAAGGATAAATAACTTCCTAGCTAAGCTACCTTGAATATGTACACATGTACACACACACACACACATATATATATATATATATATATATGCAGAAATGAAAATTTTGTCTTGATCATACAAATTATATCTATAGCTAGGTTGATGATATATAATCACCTGAATTAAGTAAGGGAATAGTGAGGAGTAGAAATGAAGCAAGAATTACAAGGGTCTTGATCCTAAGAGCCATTTTTTTTAATTAATGGCTAATTTTTCTTATAGTTGCTTGCAATATATGGTCCTGCAAAGTTGTAATTAGCTAGCTCATGAACAAAAAGGCTTTTAGCAAAGCTGGAATATGGGTTGGGGTGGGGAGAGACTGGCTATTGGGTTGGCTTTTATGGGTACAGATGAGTGGTAGAAATTGGTAGCATTAAGAGAGCTATTGTCATGGTGCACCCACCAATTGCAACAAAATGATGAATGGAAAATGCTTTACCCCCTTTAGCCCACAAAAGCTCATTAGTCAACTTCAACATTATATATAATATATATATATATATATGTGTGTGTGTGTGTGTGTGTGTGTTGCAACATTTCAAAAATACAAAGATAATTGTGTGCATGAGGACATATTGCATGGCTTTAGACTCTAGATCCAATATTTTCAGCTTGGTTTTCACCTTTTTTTTATTTTTCATAAGTCAATGTGCTTTTCTCTTGTCTGCACCAAACACGCACCTTTAGGGGATCCAAACCTTCCTATAATATGTTAATTAATTGATCAAAACAATCAATTAGTGTCCCTTTTTTTTAATTTAAAAGCCAATATCGGCTTGTAAATTACCTTTTTGGTGCCCTTTGTTTACTTGCATTAAATGATTAAAATTAAAGGAGTATACAAATGTTCAAATTTTATAGATTGGTTTCTAACTATAGGATAATTTTGTTTGTGGTTGTTTAAGTGTTTTTCTTGGAGAAGGTTTTGCTTTTGAAGCTGAAATGTGGGCTGTAATTAATGTCATTTTTATTACGTATGGGAATGGTTGGCATAAATTGGCTTGTGAATGATTCTTCCTTGATTATTTCTCTTTTGAGTTCGAAATATTTGAGGTGCCTTGGAGATTACGCAATGATCATGGTTCTTTCTTTGTCCAAGAGGATAGATTTTTGTTTTTCTTATGTGTTTTACGAAGCTAATAATTGTATTGATAAGCTTGCTAATCTCAAAATCATTAAGGGGTTGTTTAGTTGGGGGATTCGTGTCCCGATTCGAATCATGGTTCATGGTTCGCTACAATATTTTCTCTCACAAAAAATACACGTAAATCGAAAATGGTTCTAATATTATAATTCTAATCCATGAACCAAACGTCTCCAAATTGTAATAGGATGATGGTCTCATTGTCTTGATTCTTTAGAATTTGATTTTTGTGGTGGTTGTAATACTTTTTTTTCTCTTCTTTAATCATATGAGCCTCAATTGTGATGTCTTTTTTTTAAAATAAAAAAAAGGATAAGTAACTGCTGACAAAGTGGCTGATTTTGACCTCCAAATTTTCAAACGTCACCATAATCTTTCATATTTTATGCATAGCATGAAGTTTAATGGACAAAATGAGATGATCCCATGATTCAATACAACAAATGAAATTGATCTTACGAATTAATTACAATATAACAAAGAAAAACATATTTTGCATCTAACTATATAGTACAAGTGCGTCTATTTCTTCTTTCTCTCTCTCTCTCTTTTTATTTTTTTTCTTTTTCCCCTCCGTTTTTGACCTCAAGTACTAGTGTCGAGTTGCATAATAATGTGTCACTTTTTCCTTGTCTGGCTAGTGGTTACTAACGGTGGAGATTTAGGGCGCTTAATTATCTCCTCTTTTCCTACCAATAATCATTGACATGTTCTTTGACCCTATTAATCGGATCGAGAGAAAAATTGTCAAAAGCGGCTTCTCCTAGATTTTATTTTCCGTGGTACCAAACGCCACTTTAGTGACAATTGTGCTTTTGGTCCTCACATTTCGGCTTTCATCACCTTCTAAAGTCAATGGATGGAGACAAACACAAAGAGTGGGCTACAGTACCTAAATCATATCTTATTATATATATATATATGTATATATATATATATATATAATAAAATATACTATTAGATCATATCTTATTATATATATATATATATGTATATATATGTATATTAAAAAATACCATTAGAAGAGAAGAGGGATTGAATGTTGGGAGAGCCATTAGTGGGAGCACTAACAAGAGGGAGACAACTCAACACTTGGAATCCCTCATCACTAGCTCAATTTTTAATCTTAGATCAAAGACCAAAAAGTTAAACCTAATAATCTTCTAAGAGACTATGATTAGAGGGCTCTAATTGGGCATTAAATTAGGATCTAAATCCGTTTTTGGCAACGGTTCTAGGTTGTCGGGGTTTGCCACAGATTCAGTAGCCCCTTACCGACATACAAGCTCCCCACTAAAACACATAACAAAGACCAATTTGACGTATGTCATGTCTTATGCTGAATGTCACGAGGTTTTGTTTAGTACTCACGAATTTTTCAACCACAAAGGGTCCAACTCTAGACCAATCTTTGAAAGAATAACTAAAGCCACTATTGAAAAACAGGATTTCCATTGTTGTGCCCCTATTGTACATAAACCCTGACGAATCGAGAAATTGTTTGTAGATTTAGATTTTTACGTCTTATTCTTAATTAATATACTTTTGAATAATATAGTTATTTGATTAAAAATTATTGGATCAATGTTTCTTGATCAAACAACAAAAGAATATTATTTTAAAAGGGTATTTGTCTCTTTTTTCCTAACCAATTGATATGGATATTGTTGGTGAGGATTTCTGCTCCAAAAACTAGTACTTGTTTGATGGGATTTTTAGGGCCCGTTTAGTTCGCTGATTCGAATTTTTAACTCGAGTTGAGACGTGACTTTATATGAGAGCTTTTTACTATAGCAAACAAGTTAGATGTGGCTGTTTCTGAGAGTTTTTTTACTGTAGTAAAACTCGAATCGGTGAAATGAACGAGGCTTAGATACGAGCGTACAAAAATCTCCAACTATCAAGTCAACATTTAACCAATTGGTACCAAGATTTCTCAAATCATAAAAGCGTACATAAATTCTTAATTTACCGCTTATTTATATAAGGGGCTTGGTCGCGCCGGTGAGTCAAGATCAATTTATTAATCTTCTATATTGATCTTAATAGGATTCCTCATTTCCCAGTCAATACATATTTGGTTTATCATTTTAAATATATTTGCTTTCAGTCAAAGTGATCGGATTTGCTGATTTGATGTGTCCTCATTAAGTGGAACATCACCATTTTCCGAGGCCTTTGTAAAAATAACTCACTAGAAAAGTTTTATTAGTAAAATAATTTTTCAAAAATTTTTATTTGCAAATGACTACAGAACGTTCATTTATTATTTTTTTTTTTATGAAAAAATCAGGTGATCATTTTTCATAAAAAATGAAAAAGGTCATTTTGTCAATTTCACTTTGTCGGATAATCATTCTAGCATATTTCTCCCATTTTCCTGCTCTCCGAACGCGCGCCTTCACTAATCTTCTTTTTAGATAGGATTATGAGGGCTTATTTCACCCCACACATATTTTATAACGTTGACACCATTTGGTCTAAATACGTTGCTCAAAATTCCAAGTCAATCAAAAAAAAATTTGTGGTTCTTCCATGGCCTTTATGAGATCCAAAGTGCTCTAAACAGCAATTCAGTCACTGCATGATCTTGCTTGAAGTGGTACTTGCTATTCATATTGCATACCTAGTGTAGTTCTTTTTTCCTTTCTTTTCCTATAATCGATATATATATATATATATAAGTCTCTCATTTATCTCCATCATATTCAATGCATTTGCATATTGTTGTGGGTTGTGCCAGAAAAAATTATGTGCATGATATGGGAATAGTCAAACACCACTTGTTCCTTTAGATATGAGATGGTGGGGGGGTCATATCACAAAACCTCATTATGGCACCTTCTTGAACTTCCTCAAAAAAGTAAAAACCCCTTACCATATCTGATCTCTCCAACTCCGTCCAAATATGGACGAGCGGTTTGATTAATTGCAATTGAAATAGTACTACATTTTACAGATATATTTGCTTTTATATAATACACACCCACATTATATTATCCTATATCAATTATGGATATCGTTGAAACTTCTAGAGTGGTATTGAATTTTTCTCATAATCTTTTAATTTAAGCAGAAAAAGCCAAGTTGACACATTCTTATTATTTCTTGTAGCCGCTGATCAAATTTACTAACACTCATTAATTAATCAGATAGAGTAATAACAACAAGAAACGGGGTCAACTATACAAGTCCAAAAAATCATCGATTTTATGGAACCCGGATGTATCAGAAAATTAAAATGTTAATGTCGCTTAAATTTCATGAGGATCGTCAAATTTGTCGGACAAATACAAAAATGTTGATGTCGTTTCCTTTGTACTATATTTGGTTTTGAAGTTGATTTTTTTTTATTATGTTGTCGTTTAACATCTTGATGTCGTTTTTTTATCAATGCAGTCTTCTGTCTGAGTCGTTTAACATATTATTGTCGTTTAAAATTATCTCCGTTTATCACTTATTCTCATTACATCCTTTGTGGCGTTCTCGGATGAATTTCGTTTATTTAGATTATCCTTGTTTCTTAGTTGCTGTTGTTTGTATATTATATTATTTTTCCATTAGATGTCAGTTAATACAATTGTTTAGATTTTTACTATTTTAAAATTCGTGTTGTTTTTACGGTTAAATATTTTTTAGACTAAATTTTTACAGTTATGTTGTTTATCGAGTTTGTTGCCCTTTTCCAGTGGCAGTCTTTTGTCAAGTTAATGTCGTTTTTGTGTTCATTTGTATTTTGTTGTCTGTTCGCCTGTCGTCCTTTATAGATTATTATCGTCTTCCAGCTTCATTTCTTTGTCGTTTTTCATTTACTGTTATTTATCGAGTTTGTCATCGTTTTTTAGGTGCACTCGCTTATCCAATTAATGTCGTTTCGTGTTCATTCTGGATTCGATCAGTGGTCTTCTGTCCACTTAATGTCGTTTTTCCACTAATGTTGTTTTCCAGTTGGTATAGGCTTTGTTGTCGTTTTTTAAGTTACAACTGTTTTTTAGATTTTATGTCGTTTCACCAGGGAAAAGATGTATTTTTATTTGGGATACTTATATTTTTATACCGTACACTTTCAGGTTTTTTAAAATATTATACTCTGAAATTATTTTATTTCTAGTAATCCACTTGGAAATATTTCTTGATTACTCTTAGCAAACATTAAACAAGGAAAAATGAAAAAAAAAAAATTAAAACGATAATTAACTTGAAAGCGAAAGGAATGAATATTTGAACATAAAATAAAAGTAACTCAAACAAGGGAAGATAAAATAAAAAGGAATTGAACATAAAATAACGCTGTTATTAATTGGCATTAAAGTTTCTACAAACTACAACTAAATGTCAAGTGATAGAAACAAAAAAAAAAAAATCTAAAATCTTCCTTCTATTGGTACATATAATTAAACATTACAGAAAGTACGTTTCATAATTCGTCATGCAAATCATCCTCAGAATCCTCATGGCTATCATCATAGACTGTGCTATAGAAAATATACTCGTGGTTGAGCATCTCTTCAAGTGTTAAATTCCCATCCTTGTTATCATCAGCCTGAAAGATTCCCACTTCTTTTATAAAAAGCCCAAAAAAAAAAAAAAAAAAAAAAAAAAAAAAAAAAAAAAACCAAAAACCAAAAACCAACTCATTTAAAAAGCTATTTAGAATTTAAGTCTTCCATAATTACAATATAAATATATTTCATTTAAAAAGCTATTTAAAATTTAAGTATTTCATAATTAAAATATAAATATATACTTACTAGTATGGAATGTTTTTAAACCGTCATATCATATTATAATTATTTAAAAAAACAAAGATAAAAAATTTAACGGAATTGGATGAAAATCTGATAATCTAGTTGTGGCAAAAGGTGTTATTTTTGCCATAGCTTACAAAAGCGTTATATAAGGACATTTTTCAATGTCACTAACCTCATGAATCAAATAACTGGCATAATATTTGGCATACGACAGTTCTCCAGGGTGAAGGTAACCGAGTATGGGAATCAGTTCCTCCACTGTCAAGAATCTGTCAAGTACGTTATGGAATCATCAAAATGAGAAAATAATCCACACATGGGTTTATTTCTTCTAATTCGTATCTTGTTAGGACAAATTAGGTTTGTGTTTGGTTGGTATATTCGTATCATGATTCGAATTATGATTCGTGGTTCACTACTACAGTATTTTTTCACACAAAAAACACACGTAAATAAAAAATAATTCTGAATCCATGAACCAAACATTCACTAGATATGTCTTACACAATTTGCGAAAAGAAAAAATCTTGTGGGGCCAAGCAATTATATATAGTGCCCATTTGTTTGGAGGGTTTTCATGAGTTTGAACCTAAAAAGCAATCCAAATCAGTGTTTTCATTCACATTCCATTTCGTAATAACCCTTAGTTTTAATAATGTAACCAACGTTAGTTCAAATTTTATTTTTTATTTAGACCTTACAACTAAAGCCAGTTCAAATTATAAAAAATCTACATATAAGTTTAAACCCGCGAAGCAAACGAAACCATCATACCTGTCCTTGTCCAAATCAAGCTCTGAAAACTTCTCTTCAGGTTTTGGCACACGACGCCCGGCAGTTTCATACTCAACATAGTTCTTGTAAATATCATAAGTATGGTCGCAAAACTCTACAAAACTCAGTTTCCCATCTTTGTCATAGTCCATTCGCCTACATATATATTAAGATGAAAAGGGTAAAGCTCAGATCAAAAGGATGTATAAGTAAAGCCTTAATGTGGTTAGATTAAATGGGAAAAGGAAAAATTACTCTAGTTTTTCTGTCAGTAGCCATTTCTTGATTTCTTCGTTGTCACTGTCTTCTGGGTGCAAAAAACTGCAAAGAACAAACAAGGCTTGTATTGTTTAAACTCCACCATTAAGGGAAAAAAAAAAAGTGAATAAATAATGGAATGACAGAGAAGAACTTACTCTTTGAACTCATCAAAGGAGAGGGAACCGTTTCGTTTGTCGTCGGCGTTAACAAACTGCTGTTTCCACCATCCAGCTTCTCCATGGCCCATGCCATTTTTCTCCGTTTGGCAACAAAGAAAATACAATATTTCAAAGCATCGTTAGTTTTGTCTTTAAAACCTCGTATCACTACACCTTAATTACTTAGTATATAGTGTTATTCGTTTTGGGCCTAAATTTCAATAGTTTTTGCTCTTAGACTTTACCCCAATCATTTTCAATTTGAAGATGACTAAAATATTTCTGAATATCATTTTGAGAAACATTTCTTGTTAGTAGAATCTAGTGGTATGACATCTTTTAACGTAAATACCAAAAAAAAAAAAAAAAGGTGCGCTTTTAAGCTTAAAGCGGACACTACTATAAAGTGGAGGTGTGGGTACTATTGTAAAGTGGCGGCGTGAGTCGTTCCACATTCCTTTGAAGAAGGGAAAAAAAAAAAAAAATATATATATATATATATATATATAC